GAAACAAAGGAAACAAAAGAAACAAAAGACTGGCCAGAACAAGCAGGTCCCCAGAGCAACCCACAATGAAGTAATGACAAGCGGACAAGGGTTGTTTGGGTTACTCGCTGACCAGGAAGCTTGAAGACACTAGCAGGTGGCGAACTCTAGTTGTATATTTTGACATCTTGGTGCTACAATGTATTTTCGAGCACAATTGTAGAGTGCAGCTCAATTCAGTGTTATATTTCTTTTTCCTAATCCGTCAGCAATAAATTAATTTCCGTAACCTGTGGAGACTTGAACACATGAACAGCTTTTTTGGCGCTTCGAGGCATATACACGCACCACTGCCTCCACAGCGTACTCCCAGCCTTCACTTTCGAAGCATCTGCGTTTCGTTACACAGAGTTACAATCACATAGCTTCACCGAGCGTTATGCATAAATAAAGGCCGTCTCATCTCAGATTTCGGTCACCCACCCAATAGTCCTCCTGCACTTCACAACATCTATCAGACCACATACACTCAGCATGGGCAGCTACCGAGACAAAAATCAAACCTCCAGCCGTTCAGCGCAACGAAAGATCATTACTTATCGCTACAATGGCAAGATGACATATGTATGCCTGGCGCCAAGTTTCGCAGTAAGTGCAGGACGCTCCATAGTTTGAGTGGTACGCTAACCTACATGTAGGAAGCAGTTGCATTGGCCCAGAGTGACGTTGAAGGCCTGGCAGGCATCAGTGCAAACCGAATAACATTCTCATTGACGGTAGTCACTGGCAATAACCACCAATCGGTCGGCATTAGCCCCTCAGCGTGGCCACAGATGTCAGCACACTTGACCCGCTACGAGATCATCGACATACATGTCACTCCGAATGTCGTCATTACCACCGTCGATGCTTCTGAGGCAGCACCACCATATCAGGGTCCGAGCGGCCTTGGCCTTGACTTCAACGAAAAGTCACCCTCATGTCCATACCATCAGACTTCGCAGTCACAGCCGCCTTCGCCAACACTCTCCATAGGGAAGCTTAGTCCCAAACGATTATTCCGAAGGCTTGCCTCATCTTTGGACTCATGAACATCGTTCTTTCAATGGGAATATGGCAACAATGGGACGCTTTCATCTCCGGACCTCAATATAGCTACCTAAGTATGATATACTGTACTATGATACCCTGTTTCAACCATAAGTAGATCTTATAGACATAGCATACCTTCCTTTATCATTCCGTTGCATCAATGACGATGCCGCGATCTGTATTGTTATATCTGCCTGATGGCTATGGAATGTCCGGCCTTTTCCACCGTCTACAATGACCGAGCGTCTGCCGCCCAAGAGCTTGATCTTGACCAGGTACTACATAGTAGCGCTAGCACATGGCGCCACCGGATTTAACAGCGTCGGTCCTATCACACACCTCCCGTAAGCAACCTCACAAAACTTTGTAATACTAGTAGTTGTGTGTTTGCCACATGGCACTGGATGATGTTCAGAAGAGTGCGGATCAGGAAACCTTCACGTACACAGTCCTGTATATACACGATCGGTGACTCCAGTCAAACTCGAATTCCGTATCGAGTGATTAACGAAGTCGGTGCACTGCTGTGTAAGCTGTCAGATCACTGAGGCAGATCGGAACTCAGAATCTGTGGGGAAGCTGGGGAAATGCCCACCAAAACGAGTTACAAGGTCCCAGAAGGGGGATTTAACCTAATGTGACTTGAGGGCCTCGGGCTCCTGTGGATGAAGATCAATTTTGTCCGCGTGAGTATGAGACCCGGGCGTTAACCACCAACGCCGTGGCGCCCAGTACTGCAAGGTGAGCGCCAAATATGCTATATGTGAGTGGGAGGCTCACAGCAGGAAATAAAATTTCCGGCGTCTCAATGTTTATCGTTACAAGCGCCTCCCAATCGCTGCAATGCAGAGGTAGACGCCTTCCACAGAAGAATTGGGTGGTTAAACGTTCCATTATACATGTGGTGAGTCAACAGCAGTACAGCGCTTGATTTCGTGCGAGCCCACTTTCCTGCATAACAACTCACCACATATATTAGACCCAAAAGGAACCAACAGAGTCAAAGCCACAAGGACTCACTGTGGTACCCGTAAGCTGAAGAGCCGCCTATGTGCGGCTATACCTGAGGAGTGCTTTGCTTCGGAACGTTGCGTTGTACTGCAACAAATTATTGATATCCCTGACCCAGTCATCCTCCTTGCCAGGACCCACGCCTTCCTCTGGTCGACCTTCTCCGTCCTCGGATATGGATGATCGATTGATGCATGGAACAGGATACGGTGAAGCTTGGACTGTAACCGAGTCCCCTGGATTGAGCACATGAGATACACGCCCGTCCATAGAAACACCGGCTGCAGCACGGCTGCCGTCGCCAATCTAAGACCATACTACAATCAGGATCTGTTTCCCGCAAGGCTGTAACCGTGGTGGCAGGACGTACACGTAGTGTTACGGAAGACGATGACGGGAACACAAGCGGGCGGAAAGACAAGCTTCGTGGGCATATTGGGACAAGCACAACGGCGCTCAGAGACGGGTGGACGATGGGTCCACCAGCTGAGAGTGAGTAAGCCGTTGAGCCTGTCGGCGTAGACACGATCACACCGTCCGACTACTCGAAATCAGCATCAGGCGCTGATCGTACGTCAGTCGCACGTACCACGGCCTCCGTTAGGTGTTGTCCATCAACATAAATGTCAATGGTGTTAAGATGTGGACTCGAGCCACGATGCAGCGCTATTTCGTTCATCACCTGCCATTCTGATATGGTGAAACAAGATGCGTGGTTAGGACGCCATTGGCGGTGCAATCAAGGCCGTGAAACCCCACCGTCGCCGTTTGACCCTATCTTACGCGAGTCCTTGTCGTAGAACGTACACGAAAGACGCATTCGGTTTAATATAGTAGCTTTGCCGTGAAAGACGGCCTCGAGACCCTTCACGAAATCGTCGATGTCTGTGTCCGGTGATACGCTCAGTCCGGGGGCGCTCCGTTCGGTTCGCGAACTTACGGAAAGGCAACAAGAACCCTAAGGTACCCATAGAGAAACTCAACACCGGAGGAACAGCACCCAGGCTGAACATCGATGCTGCATGCAAAATGGTACCGTCTCCTCCGAGAGTTACCACCAAGTCGATCTTCTCCGAGCCTGGACCTGGTCGCCAGGCTTCCGCTCCTTCTGGGATATCCGGTCTGTCTTCAGAGAACACTCTTACCCCCGGATACTTCGTTTTCACATGTCTGCCGCAAGAAATCAGGCCGAGGCCAAACGGGAGGAAAGGACTACAAACTCGAGAAGTTCATCTATCGCCTTGATTACAGGCTCCGTCCTGAGTTTGTTGACGACGAGGATGGATCGTGGAGGGTACGAAGCACCCTCTTGGCTATCGTCTTGAGAGTGAGTAAAGCGTAAGGGCAGGCGGAACTAGACGAACGCTTGCGCAGCTGGTGTCGAAACCGAGGATATTGCTCGAGTTAGGGTCAGTATTGTTTTCGGTTGTCTCCAAACGTGGAACCGCCGCGAAGATCCAAGAAGAGACCTCGAGCAGGATCTCGATGTGCTCGGTAACTGCTTTGATGACCCATACACAAATGAGTTGTGCAGAACTCGCCGTGCGTGGCAAAGAACATTCATGGCGGAGCAATCGATGCTCAGAAAAATTAGTCTCTGCTAGCAGTGGCTGGCGTTCTGGAAGAAAGAGATCGTTCCTTCGCTGGCCGGATGTTCTGAATGTGGGATGCGGCGGATGCTGGCAGAAAACCGGCGAAACTAATTTTCCCCAGGCGCGTCGCAAGCTTTTTCAGCAACCTTGTTCAAGCGCAAAATCTTCACACCGAGGCATGGGGAAGCATGAGTGCGATCCCAAAGTTCGAACATACGGGCCCCGGACTCCACTATTTTTTTTCTGTAATCTAGCGTTCGAATACTCTTCTGAGCAGTCTCGGTAGGGTGTTGGTCGTGCCCTGGTGTCACCGAGGATCCTCATCGCGACAGCCACCTCATGTGCTAGGTTCGACCGACTCCTGTTTTAAGGAGTCTAAACACTACGCGGCGATATCATAAAGGACGGCAGCTCTATCAAGACTCCTCCCCTCCAGGCTGATCACCGATCCCAACCGAAAGGAACTTGAAGAGAGTCAGTGAGTGGCTGTAGACCGACAGTCGTCTCCGCAAGGTTCCCATGTCTATGAAGTAAACGTTCCGCTCAGGTCTCATCGCGTGCTCAGCTACCCAGGACTGTTCGGTGCGTCACGATACCGAGTCCAGGATCTACAACCCAGTCCTGCATCTCGGCTTCATAATACCAAGTTTTGCACGCAGCTCCACCACATCCTCGACATCAAAAGGATTAGCACTATGTGCCTCTGATTTTCTGCGGTGGTGTCCGGAATCTTTCAGGCAATGACCAAATGGTTGCCCAAGCCTCCCCTGACCACATAGCCGTCCGACCTTTTCAAAGCAAATCTTCCAGTTCTCCCCGACTTCTTTCTGGAATCAAAAATAACATCTGCTGAGAGCATCGTGAGCCCGAAGAGGCACCTTTGAATGTTTCACGTAGTCCTCGCCACCACCACATAGTGCTTTGGACGAACGACCAGCCTCACTTACGCAGCCCTCAAATCACTGGCAGGTGACGTGCCTCGACTAACAAATACCGGCCTGCGTCATTGCTCATAGCTAGCAAGTATTCCGTTCCCCTCAGGTATATGATCCTCGGTTGCGCGTTCGTTGCCCCCTGCCACCGCGTAGTAATCGTACTTTCCAGCTGCTGGTACCCCACCAAGGTCGGCAGGAACCATATCTCCCTCTGGGAGCGAGATGCAAGAAGACTGTTACGCTTAGTTAATGAGTTAGTTCTCCCTTGCCCGGGACCAGCTTCCTTCTGCCCCATGCAAGGTTCGGAGGGGGTGTCAGCTCGAGTTTCTATGCCAGGATTTTGAGGAGCAAATGTCGCTATTATATTTTGTTACGATAGCCAATACCACAAGGTGTGATGGCCGAGCGGTCTAAGGCGCCAGAATCAGGAGCACATGATCGTGTCTAAATCTGGTCTCTCCGGGGGCGTGAGTTCGAATCTCACTCACATCAAATGTTTTTTCCTGGCATTTTAACTGTTTTATTTTTGAAAAACAGAGATTCATTCAAGTTCAAATAATAACCACAAGTCAGTATCTACATATTATATGGCCAAGCTACTTTTCAGGAGACCCAGCGAGCTCTCAGAATTGAAGAGTCGTCGTTCTGTGATGTCCAACAAAACCATCGTCGCCCCTAGGCAGATCAAGCAAGTGTGGTACCACATTATGCACGCCTATCTTCTAGTAGAGTTTGAATCTCACTCGCATCAAACTCTCGACTGGCCTGGTTAGCCACCAAAGCCCTCGGCACGGAAGGGACGATGTCGACTGAACCTGTTTTGCTCACGAGCGCTTTGCACATCCGGCATTATAGCATGTAACCCTCCAGCATCCTTGTTGATGTCACCGGGTATAGTAAGGTATCTGATGTAGATTTATAGCTTTCAATCCTCTCCGAACTCTGCGAGCTTGTCCCAAACTCTTTTAAAAATCCTTCGTGCTGTATCGAAAGGTCTTCGTGTTTGGGCTGTCTCCCACATCCGGACTGCAAAGTCTCGTTGGGATCCCTCCTCGAAGCTACGACGACAGATCTCTAGAGCCAAGAATGTCGGAGCAAGAAGATGATGAAGAGAATCACGTAGCGGCAGGTGAAGCCGAATCAGCGAGGACCGTTCCCTATTTCCCTACATCAGTTTGAGAACTGGAAACAAAGCCAAGAACGCGCACCATGGAAAGGGTGGTCGAGCGGACGGTGATGGAATCGTTGAGAGATTTGAGTATTGCTCTCGTTCAGATTTCTCCATGTATCGCTGCCAATCGTCCTGCCAAGCTAACGTCCCCCCCATTATATGCAACTTATTCACCGCGCCCCGGTGACTTCTGCTCGTCCACAGATACCAACCCTCTTCCCAGTATCGGATATCATCCGATTCGGGCGGTGAATTTGAATCACCCGAGGCAGTCGGTTGCCCCTCTCGAGGAAGAGGAAATTTGCTGTTGTCCTGTCCATTCTTCGTTCGTCCATTACCGAGCAGGGATGCCATCACCTCATGGGGGAAAACTTTGCGAAGGCATATTGAGCGACAGGTGGGGGGGTGACCTAAGGCTCTCCCACGAGCAGTCTGTGAGCAATAGGTAAAGCATCTCTCGTCGGTGCTGTTGGGAATTTTGCCTGGAGGTAGAGTTCGTTAGGTTCTCGGGATGCGGATAGCGTCAATAGTGGAGTAAAGAGATACACACCAGATCGATCACCAATGGGGGGTTGTTGCGCTTGGAGCGTAACTGCATCACTTGGTGCTGGCATCCCCGGAGCGTTCGTGTCCTTGTCAGTCCGGGAGTTGGTGGAACTCATAAGGGCGGGTAGTGGTGGTGCATTGGAAGCCTCAAGTTATTACGTTATTACTCCGGTGTGGTCGGCCTCTCGGCATTTTGGGGCGGAGCGTGAATTCTTTCTTTATAACTATTTGTTTTTCAATTTTTGCATAGTACCGCGTCGTATGAAGAATCGCTGTCGCAGCACACGAACAGGAAGCATCTAGCTTCCCTTTTTCCGCTGTGGGGAAAGTCCCCGGAGACACAGAGTACCACCTCCTCGCCCACATCGGAAAGCGCCCAGCTTCAAATTTGCTGAGGGGGGGCGAGGTCGGTTGGGCAAGATCGATTTTACTGGCCCACTCCTAAGTTGGGCCAGTTCCGCTTGCCCGCTCTGTCGCTAGCTTGGAGCTCGGTTGCTCTTCCACCAGCGTATTCATGCGAAGATATGAGCATGTTTGCGCTTGAGTAACTGGGTGAATGGCCTGCTCTTTGTTGCTCATAGACATAGTTATGCGATTGTTGGCGTTTGCCTAACCGGCCGCTTTCAACTCAATGGGGCTTATTCTCATCTCGACGCGGATCTCTCAAAATTCTATTTTTTGCCCCTTGGACGCTTGTCGTTCCATTCGCGGTTGCTCAGCTAGGTGCGGATTGTCGGGTGAGTAAAAAGCTTATTCGTTATGTCCTTCGAACCTATGATGCTTCATAACCTATGGTTTGAATTTCTTCAAGGAGAAACCTTTTTTTCAAGGGCGTGCTCCAGAATTTGACACCTCTGATCCTCCTACTGGCTTCATTTATGCCGTGAAGATTAAACTAATTGAGTTTCTTGCAGGTACATTGTTGGCGTTTAGGGCCGTTTGCATTGGGTTGATAGCTCGATCTATGTATCCTTGTTACCCCGGGTTTGCTTTCCGCTGAATGTAGATGGTTGAGAGTAAGATACGATCAGAAGTTTGAGAGACCCAGATCACGATCTTACCAGAGGTTCTCCACGAAGCTTTTGAATTTCATCATCGGCAGAAGCAGAGCGCCCGGCTGCGCGTCGGCAAATGGCTTCGTCCATGCCGCTCGGCTGTGAAAACAGTTTGGTGCAGGCGGCACGCTTTATAAGCTTGATGCACCCCGGCATCGTTAAACGGCAGCCTCCCGAGACAGAGACGGCACGGAATAAGGTTGCTCGGCCTCGACGGCAGGCAATCAGGCAGGCATTTGTTCTTATTTCCTGTTCATTCAGGACGGCGTGAATCGTTCGTGCCGTTTCATTGGAGGAGGCACATAAATCGAGCGTGATGGCTGGGGAATCCTGTCTCCCTAGCACCCACCACCCCCTTCTGCCTGACGACTTGCCCGCATGCCCTCTCAAGAAACCATGAAGACTCTGTCTCAACATTCTTCTGGTGTGGCTCAGGTATCTGCTCAAATCGAACGTCCGGTATGCATTTTAGCAGCTTGCATTATCCCGACAGATAGGACTCACGTTTATTTTTGCGCCTCAAAGATTAACCGAGGAGATCCCACCACAGAGTCGGACGTAGCGAGCTCCGCGCCACAGACGCGTTTAGGGGACTTCCAGCCTGAGTTTCTCGAGGCCCTCTGGCAGACGAGGCTTGAGCTCGCAATATTCAAATTAGAACGCAGAGCTGTAAGTGGTCAGCATTTTGCTGACCCGGAACCGCCTCCTCATCCTGGCGTTAGCTGCCAATATTGAACGTGTTCAATCGTCTACCATCGAACGTGCGCTGGCATCGCGACGAAGGCGGTTTGCAGTCGCTAAGAAGGTGTCCTCATAAGGTGTTATTTTGTTATCACAGTCGCTAACGTCTTCAGCAGCCGAGCTCATGCGGGACGAACACATGCAATGTAATATATCCTTGCGAGGCTCATGTTGGTCAAAGCTCATATGTAAATCCACAGCCAGGACTGCAGCACCCGCAGAGACACTCCCCCTCCATCATCTCCAAGGATAGCATTGCCCACAGGCACCCACGAAATTTCTGTCAGAGAAGCCCCTGAAACCCGTGAAGAGACGTCCCCTCCAGCTACATCACTTATCAAAACAAGAAAAAGACGAACTTCCAATGCCTGTAACTCGTGGTTTAAATGGCGAGGACCTCTACCCGCTAAATTTCAACGCATGCCCATGCTTGGTAATGCCGTTTTTGTTCACAAATATAAACTAAAAAACGAGTGGATATCGCGTTTCTGGGTGCGGCAACGCAAAGAAGGAGTTGTTCGGTGGACGGAAGTCCATTCTTCACTCCCTCCCAGGTTATCTGGAAGCTGGAGGACGACTCGGATGAATGGGAGCCGAACGCGGAAGTGGTGAAGTCCGTGAACGCTAATAGTAGCGTCGATTGTGTTCTAGTATAATCCATGTACCCATCATCTTATTCTTCAACTTGTACATCTCTGTAGCCCGATTTCACTGACATGACATCGTTTTCCGTGCATTTGGTGGCGGGAACACGGACACGGAATCATAAATCATGGATGTGATCAGCGGGCTCCCCATGTGCCGCATCAGAGCAGATGGTGCTGTCCGATCTTATGCTTAAGCTACCCGGTCGGTCCCCTACTAACCAGAACCTAGTCGAGTTGCCAGCAAACAAGTCATATGAGCCCTCGTGACCAAGACGGTGGCTCCACGACCCAGAAAACCCTTGTACCAGTCGTCTCGAGGCAATTGTCGTAGATATATGGGGTCTGCTTGCAGTAGGATACTACAAGATCCCTTAAGCTTCGAGTTCAGATAGAGCAGGAAATCGAGACCCTGACACAATATGCGTAAAACATTGCGATTGGCAGGGGATCGGCCCCGTGATCAGAGGCCACGCAAACATCTATGAAGGAAAAGGCATAGATCAGTGCGTCCTCAGGCAGCTGAAGTTTTTGCTCTGAGTAGAGCTCATGTTTACCCGGGCCCGCGCACACTCGATCGACAGGTCTGGTGTAAAATTGTGATACTAAGTATAATCAAGAAGCAGGAGTTCTACTACTGTCGGAGTTGGTTGATACTGTGCACAGGCGGCACGCGAACCGCGGTTCGAGTCTCCGACATCGGGGGTTTGCCGAGCTGTTATCATCGCTAGATCTAGTAAGGAAAGCCCCTGAAGCACCATGCATCCTTGCACCATGCACGTCTTTGTCCCACTACAGACCTTTGTTTGGGTGCTGCCACTCGGTGCGTGTATAAGAAGCCCTAGATATACTTCGCCCTTCTTTCAACCCTCCCCCCTCATTGATCATGGGCGACCTGAACCACAGCTTTCCCCAGCACGCAGCTGACACGAGGTTCGTGTGCCCTACAACCTCCTACCCGCCCGCAGCACCAGGGAGCAATACACATCCACTTAATCTTAACTTTACCTACCCAAACTCTACGTTCCGTCTAGCCCTCCCCAATCAGCTTGCCCCGTTGCCCCGTCTCGCGCTGAACTTGAACTATGGGCACCCGGGCATGCCTACTTTGCCTATCAGGGAGTACTGGGAACTCCGACGAGAGGTCGATCTTGAAGCCGTGAGTGGTCTCTGTACTAATTTAAAGTCTGGGGAAGCTGATCGATATCTCTAGCTTGCGATACAAGCGCAAACGCGGACGCAAGCACCCGTGAACTTTGGGGCTAACACAGCTATAAATAATGGTTTGAGGTGAGTGTAATGAGTTTGCTGATAAGACGTGGCAAAGGACTGACG